TGGGGGCACACACCTGTAATCCCAGCTACTACTCAGAAGACTGAGGCAGGAGAATTGCTTGAACCCACGAGGCGGAGGTTGCAGTGAGCCAAGATGACACCACTACACTCCATGCTGGGCGACAGAGTGAGACTCCATCTAAAAAAAAAAAATTAGCCATCATGGTGGCATGCACCTGTAGTCCCACCTACTCAGAAGGCTGAGGAGAAGAACTGCTTGAACCCAGGAGTTCGAGGCAACAGTAAGCTATGATCGCACCACTGTACCTGGGCAACAAAGCAAGACCTTATCTTAAAATAAAAAAAAATAAGGCGGTGGCTCAAGCCTGTAATCCCAGCACTTTGGGAGGCCAAGGCGGGTGGATCACGAGGTCAAGAGATCGAGACCATCCTGGACAACATGGTGAAACCCCGTCTCTACTAAAAATATAAAAATTAGCTGGGCATCGTGGCACACGCCTATAGTCCCAGCTACTTGGGAAGCTGAGGCAGGAGAATCGCTTGAACCCGAGATGCGGAGGTTGCAATGAGTCGAGATCGCACCACTGCACTCCAGCCTGGTGATAGAGCAAGACTCCATCTCAAAAATAAATAAATAAAATACGGGTGACTACTAATACTATGTAGCTGATGAAAATAATTTAGCTGTGCATTTACTGACATAGGAAATGGTGTTTGTAATGTGTGCCTTCTCTGCTTCATACCCCCCAAAGTCAGAGTGGCCCCTGCCTACTGCTCTGATCTTCTGTGTGTCCCTGCTCACCACGCCTGAGCCTCCTGCCCTTTCTCTTGTTCTCACACACTAAGCTTGTTCCTACCTCACAGCCTTTGCCCTTGTTCTCTCAGCTCAGCACTTTGCCCTCAGACCTCTCCTGGCTGCCTCATTCCGATCATCCAGGACTCAGCTCCAATGCCAGCTGTGCAGAGGTCTTTCCTTAACAGCTTAATGAGGCACTCTCTTCCTGTTGTTCTCAATCACATCTACTGTTAGCTTATTTATTGTCTCTTTCTCCCACCACAGTGACAGCCCTGCTTTGTTCCCTGCTGTATCCCCAGCACCTAGAACATAATAAATAGCACTAGGCCCACAGCAGGACTCAATAACTAGTCACTGATTAAATAAAGACTATGAAAATGAAAAAAATAAAAGGGACATTTAAGAAAGGAAAAATGGTTTGAAAGGACATACACCTAAATGCTACCAGTGGTGAGCTCTTTGACACAGAATTACATTTTTGTTTTTTTATTTACTAATTTCCATCAATCAATATATACTTTTTATTTCAATTTTTAGAGACGGTCTTGCACTTTTGCCCAGGCTGTAGTGCAGTGGCGCAATCATAGCTCACTGCAGCCTCAACCTCCTAGATTTAAGCGATCCTCCTGCCTCAGCCTCCTGAAAAGCTGGGACTACAGGCACACACCACCACGCCCAGCTAATTTTTTTTTTTTTTTTTTTTTTAAGAGACAGGCATCTCACTACATTGCTTAGGTTGGTCTTGAACTCCTGGCCTCTAGCAATCTTCCTGCCTTGGCCTCCCAAAGTGCTGGGTTACTTTGGGTTACAAAGGCAAGAGCTACCATGCTCAGACTAAATATGTATTATTTTTATAACTTAAAAATTTTTAAGGCTGGGCATGGTGGCTCATTACTGTAATCCCAACACTTTGGGGGCAGAAGGTGGGTGGATTGCTTCAGCCTAGGAATTCAAGAACAAAACAAAACTAAAAAAGACTTTAAAGAGGTTGTGCTTTATAGGACCCCCACAGATCAGAGGAACAAAAGCAATGAAAGGACCCAAAAAGAATGAGTACTGATCTCTCTCTTCCCCCCACCAATAGTAAGGGAAAGAGGAGGTTAGTGAGAATTTTGCCACAAGCGACCCTCTCTTCCTAATTTTCCACCTAAATGGGGCACTGTGTTTACAATTCTGTCATAATTCCCTTCTACACACAGGAGGCAAGCTCAGAGAGGTGAGGCAAAACCTGTACATGGTCACTCGGCAAGGAAGCAGCAGGGCTAGAATTCAAATCTGGCTCTGAACTGCAAAGCCCTTACACTCTGCCCTTGCCCCACCCACCCAAGCCATTCTGCACTGCCACAGGGCTGCCTGCTCACCTTGGGGAAGTATCCTGGCCTTCACAGGGGCCTTGGCAGCTTTTACAATCTCCTTCAGCATCTTCCGCTCATCTTCTCCCACCAGAGAGACTGAGCGCCCAGCCCTGCCAGCACGCGCTGTTCGCCCCACCCGGTGGACATAATGCTTGATAGTATTAGGCATTGTGAAGTTGATTACCTAGAAGGTCAAAAATGAACATCAGTCAGGCCTGGCAAGGGAAGGGGGGTGCGAAGAGGCAAAAAGACTTCCACCAAAAGTCCAAGGAAGATAGGGTCTGCTCACCGTTTTGACCCCCTCAATATCAAGTCCACGGGCTGCCACATCAGTGGCCACGAGGATGTCAATCTGTTCATCCTTAAAACGCCTAGAAACAATCACAAACAGCTGTTCATCCAGACACCCTCCCCTAATAATGTTCCACAAGAGCCTGAGCCAGCAGAGGACAGAACAGGGCATTAAAATGGGGATAGATTCTAAATGTGAGCACATGGGATGCTTACACCCACCCTTCAACAACCCATCACACAGAGCAAGCGTAGTTCTGTGTCTGCTAACAGCATGGGCAATTGTCTCAGTTTAAATCAGCCTATCTTTAACAAACACCTTTCGGCACCCTCTGATGAGCAGGGTGGAGAGTTCTAAAGGGTTCCTCCTTGCCAACCACCTTGATGCCATTCTCTGAGGATTAAACAAGAAATCACATGGAAAGCACACAGCACAATGCCTGGCAAAGTAGATGCTCAAGTAATGGCTGCTGACTTTGACTTTAAATCTTGTTCAATCAGACCCAGGAATGTTCACCACTCTCAGAAAGCTTCAGAGAAGGGACCATGTGCTGCCTTTCCAAGCCGGCTTCCTCTGTCGCCCCACACAACAGCTGCCATACTAGGGACAAGCACCCAAGGGCACGAGGGTCATCTCTGACTATGAAGTTGGAGTTCTACATGCATCTAAGACATGACCTCACAGTGGTTGGGTTAAAATGTTCAAGGCCAAGATCATCCTATGTGTCCCCTGCTAATGCTCTAATAGAATGCTCAGGGTCCTCTTCTTCCCTCTATCTGCTCTGCCCCAGAAGGATGGTGGGAGCCTGAGTCCCCACCCCAAATGTTACCGGAGGGCCTCCAGCCGCTGCGTCTGTGACAAGTTGCCATGGAGCTCGCCCACCTGCAGTCCCATGAGCCCCAGGAGGATGTGCATGCGGTGGGCCTGCTTCTTGGTCTGCGTGAACAGCATCACATGGTCAGTGAAGGTCCTCGTCAACAAGGCTGGCAGGAAGAGAGGACTGAGCTGGCAGCTGTTTCTAGGCTCTTATTCAACATGTACCCCCTCCTCATCCACAAAGTATGGTCACTGTGCCTGGCACTGGATAGACAGGCATTGTCCCTGTCCTGTGGAACTCAAATTCCAGGATGGATACAGAGAAACCAATTCCTGGGGGGTGAAAAATGTTATAAGAGAGAGTGCAGGGAGGAGGGGAAGCAGCTAAGGGCTGGCCTCTCTGAAGAGGTGACATTAGGTTGAATGACAAGGCAGATGATCCATGGGAAGATCCAGGGGAAGATTCTAGACAGAGGAAATGGCAAACATGAAGGCCCAGAGGCAGGAACGAGCTTATAGTGAGAAGTGCAAGCAGGCGGCCGGATGTAGTGGCTCACGCCTGTAATCCCAGCACTTTAGGAGACCAAGAAGGACAGATCACTTGAGGCCAGGAGTGCAAGACCAGCCTGGCAAACATGGTAAAACCCTGTCTCTACTAAAAATACAAAAATTAGCCAGAAGTGGTGGCGAGTGCCTGTAATCCCAGCTACTTGGGAGGCTGAGGCACGAGACTCGTTTGAACCCAGGAGGCAAAGGCTGCATTGAGCCAAGATCGTGCCATTGTACTCCAGCCTGGGCGACACAGCAAGACTCTGCCTCAAAGGAAAAAAAAAAAAGTGCAAGCAGGCGAATGTGGCTGGAGCCATGAGCAAGCCTACATGGCTGGGGACCCCGGGCAGGCAAGGGCCAGGCCCGAAGAGTCCTAAAAGACTTACTAAGATGTTTGGATTTTAGTCTAAAACCAATGGAAGCCACCGCAGGGTGTTCAAATAAGGATGTAACAAGTACAAATGTCTTCTGCAAGCAATCATCATAAATGCTCTGCAATGCAGTCACAAAGGGCCGAGTGGAAGCGGGGAGCTCGAGCAAGAGGCTGCACAACGATCCAGGCGACAGAGACCAGTGGTCTGGACTGATGCGTACAACCGCAGCTGATGCCAAGTGGTTGGGAGTTGAACAGGACACAAAGAGGATTGGTGAGGCGATAAGGCAAAGGGAGGAAGGACCCATGGAGAAGTGAGGCAGCGGATCATCGTTAGTGCAGTGCAGCCTCTGCGCTGGGGAAGACTGGATGGCAGAGGCGCGGGGGAAAAACCAAACACTTCGGCATGGACAACACGAGCTCAAGGAAGCTGACCAGCCCACCCTGCCCAGGCTCGCCCTCAGCTGCCACCTGCCACGATGGCTTCCCGGTCTCCTTCCCGATTAGGCCGGATCCGGATGAACTCCTGCCGCAGGAAGGGAGCCACATCCGTGTTGCTGTTCACAAATATCCGGACAGGATTCTTCAAGGAGACAGAAGCCAGATCTTTCACCTGCAAGCGCAAAGCCGGGTTTGCTCAGCTGGCAACCGGGTAGTGGGGAAGGAGGCAGCAATGCTCACCCCAGGCAAACCCCCTCAACCCCAGTCAGGGTCCTCTGCACAGCCCCCTCCGCGCACACCTGCCACCCGCCACAGAGAAGTCCCTTGGCCCACCTCGTCTGTCATGGTGGCTGAGAAGAGCATGGTCTGGCGGTGGTGGGAACACATTCGGATGATCTCCTTCATCTGCTCCTCAAAGTACTCATCCAGCATCCTGGGAGCAAAGAAAGACATGTCAGAACTGGGGAGAGTGCCCTTCGGTCACAGTGAGGGGCACAGGATCGCATACCGGCTGCTGTTTGTTGTCATTGGTCACATTTAGGACTCATCTATTTTATTATTTTATCTTTTCACCAAGAATTATCATTTTGCCACATTTGCTTTGTCTTTTTGTGGCAAGTCAGTCGCAGATGTCATAACACCTGACCCCAAATATTTCAGCACACAACTCCTAAGGACTAGGGCCTTCTCTTACAGAAACACAACTTCATCAACACGCCCAAGACTTTCAAGTGGGTGAATATCTAAAGTACAGGCCACATTCACATTCCTTCAGCTGCCTCCAGGTGTCTTTTTTTTTTTGAGATGCAGTTTCACTCTTGTTGCCCAGGCTGGAGTGCAATGGCGCAATCTTGGCTCACTGCAACCTCCGCCTGCCAGGTTCAAGCAATTCTCCTGCCTCAGCCCCCTGAATAGCAGGGATTACAGGCATGCACCACCACGCCCAGCTAATTGTGTATTTTTAGTAGAGATGGGGTTTCTCCATGTTGGTCAGGCTGGTCTCAAACCCCCGACCTCAGGTGATCTGCCTGCCTCAGCCTCCCAAAGTGCTGAAGTTACAGGCATGAGCCACCATGCCAGGCCAAGTGTTATTTTATAGTTACCTTTTGTTTTAGTACAAGAACCAAAGTTCCTGCCTTGCAACTGGCTGCCACGTCTCTAGTCTTCTTGCATCTAGAAAAGCCCCCTCAGCCTGGGCAGCATGGCAAAACCCCGTCTCCACAAAAAATACAAAAATGAGCTGGGGCCGGGCAAGGTGGCTCATGCCTATAATCCCAGAACTTTGGGAGGCTGAGGCGGGAGGGTCACTTAAGCCCAGGAGTTCAAGACCAGCCTGGACAACACAGCAAGACCTTGTCTCTACTTATTTAATATAAAATAAGCCAGGCATGGTGGCGTGTGCCTGTAGTCCCAGCTACGTGGGGGGACTGAGGCGGGAGGATCACCTGAGTCTAGGAAGTAGAGGCTGCAATGAGCTAGTGTTCGCACCATGGCACTCCAGCCTGGGTGACAAAGCAAGACCCTGACTCAAAAAAAAAAAAAAGAACGAAAAGGCCCCTCATCCTTCTCGCACTCTGGATTCATCTAATTATTTCCCAGTAACTGGATTCAGAGAAATTCTCAAGGGGACAGCACTGCTGGGCGCAGCTGTGCCCTGTATTCATGCTCCATCACCAGACACTGACAGCCGGTTTGTTCTAGAACCGGGGATGTGAGGTTGGTCACTGGCTATAGTGTCTGCCAGATCGCTCCACTGTAAAGGATCCTTTTTCTCTTTATATATAATAGTAATCTGTGAGATTCCTTGGATTCCATATTTTCAGCAAGCCCAACCCCTTACAGCATTTCTCCCCCAGTGCAGGCTGCAGTCTAGGTCCAGGTGTCACACAGAGCTGTCTTCTGATCTTCCAAATCTCAAATACTTCCTCCGCCTTTTTTGGTCTTTTGAGATACATACTTGAATAGTTTCCCTCCCGCTTTAAAACCTAAACCAGATCAAGTCCCCTTGACTTAAAATGATCTCCTTTTCATCCTTTAGGCCTCAGGAATGGGTCTTTTGTTCTGAGGGAGTCAGCCAATCGGTTATTCAACAAGTATTTACTGAGTGCCTGCTATATACTAGACACGCCCCTATGCATGTAGCCCTTCATGAATACTGTATCCTAGGGAGACAGGGGAGACATGGCACTCCATGAACCCTCAGTGACAATGCAGGCAGGACGGGAGGAGCAAGTTAGGGCAGGACCATCACAGGGTGGCCAGCAAAGGCCCCACTAACAAGGTGACAACTGGAACAGAAACCTGAAGGGGCAGGAGATGGCTCCAGGCTGAGGAAAAGGCAAACATAGAAGACACAAAGTGGGGGTGTGTGGACAGTCTGTGCTGACAGGCGGGCTGTGGGGTGTGAAAACAGGAGAACACGCAGAAAACTCAGAACAGCTGGAAGGATGGAGCTGCCATTCCCCAAGCTGGTGAAGATTCAGGGAGGGGTGTCAGGATTTAAGGGCCTGTAACCTTAGCATGCCCTGGGGCTGTTTGAGAGCTCCTTCCCCTGCCCCGCCTCCAGCCTCAGTCCAGAGTTCAGGAAGAGTTCCTTCTGTTCAGTCCCAGAGCAAAGAGGTGAGCAGACGGCACAGGTAAGAGAGGAACAGAGCTAGGGGGCAGGGTGGGGGGAGAGGGAGTCCCGGCTGCAGTCACAGAGGCCCTGTGGGAGCCGCGCTGGCACTTCCTCTTCCTCCCTCCTCAGCTCCTCGACACTGACACTGTGATGTGCGTATGTCCTTATCTCCCATTTACAAACAAGAAAATATTTTGTTTTGAGAATCTAAATGTTTCCAGATCTCCCTTAGGAAGTGGCAGGGCCAACATTTGACCGGCCTCATCACTTAACCACCATAATAGAGAGAGAAAGAGAAAAAACAGGAAAACACAGGCTAAGGCTGGACAGAGGCCCCAGCACCAGTGGCTGATCTGGTATCGCACACCAAAGGCCATGGCCCAGAGCCGCAAAGAACAACGCAGTGTAGCAGGTCCACATCCTGGTTGTGGGCCTTGGAACCCCACAGTGCCCTGGGCCCCACGCTGGGAGGAGCACCTGTCAGCCTCATCCAGGATGAGCACCTCGATGCTGCTCAGGTGGAAGGAAGGGCAGTTGTGGAGGTGATCGATGAGCCGGCCTGGGGTGGCAATGAGGATGTCAGGCGCTGCCCGAAGAGCTGCTTCCTGAGACTTCACGTCCAAGCCGCCTGCAAAGAGGAAGAGCCCCACCAGGCGGCCAGGTCAGCTGCTCATGGGTGTTGACTGAGCACCAGCCACTCACCAGGCCTCAGGCCAGATGCAGAGGAAACCACTGAGAGAGTAAGACTAACAAAGGCCCAAGCACATGGGTTTCCCAACACACTGGGAAAGACAGATCATGTCATTAAAATTGTGCTAAGTGCAAAAATCAACAATGATGATGACACAAAAGCACTTCAGAAGAGAATGCATGGGCTAGGAGCGGTGGCTCACGCCTGTAATCCCAGCACTTTGGGAGGCCAAGGCAGGTGGATCACTTGGGGTCAGGAATTCGAGACCAGCCCACCCAACATGGCGAAACCCCATCTCTAGTAAAAATATGTAAATTAGTTGGGCGTGGTGGTGCACGCCTATAATCCCAGCTACTTGAAAGCGGTGGGAGAATCACTTGAACCCAGGAGGCAGAGGTTGCAGTGAGCCGAGATCATGCCATTGCATTCCCGCCTGGGCAAAAGAGTGAGACTTCCTCTCAAAAAAAAAAAAAGAGAATGCCTGAAACATCCAAGGACTAAGAGAAGCAGCTGCGGAAAGTGATGAAGTCTCTGTTACAGGGAGACAAAGATCACTTCTGACTTCCAATTGCACAAGGAGGACAAAATGCAGGCTAGATAACACTATCATATAACTTCATTGGAAAAACGCTGTCCAAAATAATATTTATTATTCTCACAAAGCAAAAATTATATTCCAAATTTGTTCAGTACCAAGAAAAAAATGTTCATAGTTGTCAGGTTTCATTTGTCAAGGTTGGTTAAGTTTCAATCAAATCCCACCTGCCTAAAGCACTATGAAAACACGTCTGCTGGGCACAGTGGCTCACACCTGTAATCCCAGCACTTTGGGAGACAAAGGCAGGCGGATCACAAGGTCAGGAGATCGAGACCATCCTGGCTAACACAGTGAAACCCCATCTCTACTAAAAATATAAAACATTAGCTGGGCGTGGTGGCGGGCACCAGTAGTCCCAGCTACTTGGGAGGCTGAGGCAGGAGAATGGTGTGAACCGGGAGGAGGAGCTTGCAGTGAGCCCAGATCACGCCGCTGCACTCCAGCCTGGGTGACAAAGCAAGACTCCATCTCAAAAAAACAAAAAAACATGTCTTCCAGGTTTTAAGTGAATTCAATCAACACAAAGGCCTATCCTGGCACCTGGCACCAACACCAACAGATGGCAGGGCACATCCATCCTCCACCCCACCACAGTCTCTGAGGGGCTGGCAACCCTTGGCCAGAAACTCACCCACAGCCAGGCAGGTGGTGATGTTGCAGAACTGGGCCAGCTGTCTGGTGACAGAGTGCACCTGGATGCCCAGCTCTCGGGTGGGGACCAGCACCAGCACGCGGGTGACTGGAGCCTGGCGGGGTTTGTAAATCAGACGCTCCAAGACAGGCAGGGCAAAGGCGGCAGTTTTACCTGGAGGGAAGGGCAGCAAGGAAGCAATGAGAAGACGTTCAGTTCCCTCCAGGGTTAGGTTTTCACCAGAGCACAGAAAAACCACGTCTGGTCGGGGGAAATAAAGGAATTAATTTTTCATAGAATATTTTTTCTGCTTTCAAATCATATGGTCAGGCTCACATATGTAATCCCAGCACCTTGGGACACCGAGGCAGGTGGATCACCTGAGGTCAGGAGTTCAAGACCAGCCTGACCAACATAGTGAAGCCCCAATGCTACTAAAAATACAAAAAACTTAGCTGGGCATGGTGGCAGAAGCCTGTAATCCCAGCACTTTGTGAGGCCAAGGCAGGCAAATCACCTGAGGTCAGGAGTTCGAGAACTGCCTGGCCAATATGGTGAAATCCCATCTCTACTAAATACATAAAAATTAGCCAGGCATGGTGGTAGGCGCCTGTAATCCTAGCTACTCAGGAGGCTGAGGAAGGAGATTCACTTGAAACCGGAAGGCAGAGTTGCAGTGAGCTGAGAACGCGCCACTGCACTCTAGCCTGGGTGACAACAGCAAAACTCTGCCTCAAAAAAATAATAATAATAATATGGCCGGGCGCAGTGGCTCATGCCTATAATCCCAGCACTTTGGGAGGCTGAGGCAGGTGGATCACGAGGTCAGGAATTCAAGACAGCCTGGCCAAGATGGTAAAACCCCATCTCTACTAAAAATACAAAAATTAGCTGGACATGGTGGTGTGTACCTGTAATCCCAGCTCCTCAGGAGGCTGAGGTAGAAGAATCGCTTGAACCTGGGAGGTGGAGTTGCAGTGAGCCGAGATTGCACCACTGCACTCCAGCCTGGGCAACAGAGCAAGACTCTGTCTCAAAAAAAAACTTTACTCCTCTGACATGACAGGGCCAGGAAGCCATGGTCACAGAGATCAAGGATACCGCAAAAGCATTAAATGAAAATGACCTTCACCAGACCCTTTGAAATTTGTGGCCCATTACTAGACCGGGCCCATTACTAGGCCCAAACATCCTCTCATGCACTGTTTATCTTACAAAATTAATCCTTCAGTAGGCCAGGCACGGTGGCTCATACCTGTAATCCCAGCACTCTGAGAGGCTGTATCACTTGAGGTCAGGAATTCGAGACCAGCCTGGCCAACACAGTGAAACTCTGTCTCTACTAAAAATACAAAAATCAGCCAGGTGTGGTGGCAGGCACCTGTAAACCGAGCTACTGGGGAGGCTGAGGCAGGAGAATCACTTCAACACAGGAGGCGGAGGTTGTAGTGAGCCGAGATTGTGCTACTGCACTCCAGCCTGGGTGACAGAGTGAGACTCCATTTCAAAACAAAACATTAATCCTTCAGTAAACTGAATAAGCTCTGCAGTCTAGGAAACACTGTTATATCAGTGTCAATTTCCTGGTTTTGATTTTGTCCTACAGTTATGTGGCATGTCACCACTGATGAAGGATTCGAGAGACCCTACACACTATTTTTCCAACTTGCCATTGATCTACAAATACTTCAAAATAAAATGCTTAAAAATTTAAAAGTCCTTTACTCTCTCAATTGCACCAGTATATCTTTTTTGTGTTAAAAAAATTTTATGGCCAGGCACAGTGGCTCATGCCTGTAATCCCAGCACTTTGGGAAGCCAAGATGGGAAGATCGATCACTTGAACCTGAACCTAGGAATTCGAGACCAGCCTGGACAATAAAGTGAGACCCCTATCTCTACAAAATAAAAAATAAAAACAAAATAGTTCCAAAAACCAAGAGTATTTATTTAGCAAACCAGCCTTTTGGTAAGTCAACCTAGAGCCCAGCCCTGGCTGTAACACCCTTCCGCCTACCCCGGGTCCCTATCCTTTTCACCTGTCCCAGTGGCTGCACAGGCACAGATGTCCTTCCCCAACAGACCCACAGGTATGCACGCCTTCTGGATCGGGGTGGGCTGCTTGAAGCCCATGGCTGTAATGGCCTGAGGAAAAAAGACTGAGTCAGACAGGGTTGAGCAGGGGAAGTCTCAGCACGACGCAAACAGGGCAGGTTTCCAGACAAGTGGGGACCACACCAATCCCCACCAATCATTCATTCCATAAACATTCACTGAACTGAGCGCCTACTACGTGTGAGGTGGTGTTCTAGACACTGGGGACACAGCAGTAAATAAAAGAAATAAAAACCCTGCCCTCAGGAAACTTACAGTCTGGTAGAAACAGACCAAAACCAAACACATGTCATATGGAGATATGCTGCGGAAAACAATGCAGTGGTCAGAGGGGCAGTGGGGGAGTGCTGTTCACAGTAGGGCTGCCAGGGAAGGTGTCACTGAGCAAGCGATACTGAGTTGAACCCTGAAGGAAGCTAGAGAGCACCCCAAAAGATTTCTGGAAGAGGGCCGGGCGTGGTGGCTCAAGCCGGTAATCCCAGCACTTTGGGAGGCCGAGACGGGCGGATCACGAGGTCAGGAGATCGAGACCATCCTGGCTAACACGGTGAAACCCCGTCTCTACTAAAAAATACAAAAAACTAGCCAGGCGAGGTGGCGGGCGCCTGTAGTTCCAGCTACTCGGGAGGCTGAGGCAGGAGAATGGCGTGAACCCGGGAGGCAGAGCTTGCAGTGAGCTGAGATCTGGCCACTGCACCCCAGCCTGGGCGACAGAGCCAGACTCCGTCTCAAAAAAAAAAAAAAAAAAAAAAAAAAAGGTTTCTGGAAGAGGCTTCCAGGCAGAGGGAACAGCAAGTGCAAGGGTCCTGAGGAAGAGGAGGCCTGACCTGTTTGAGGGCCAGCAAGGAGGCCAGTGTGGCCAGAGCAGAATGAGTGCAGAGGTGTCATCAGAGAGGGCCAGAAGGGGCAGAGCCTTGTAGGTCAATATAAGGACTTGGGCTTTTAAGCTGAGTGAGACTATAAAGTAGTGAAGGGCTTACAGAAGAAGAGGGACATGATGGAACTCATTGCTTAAGAGAGTTCTCTGGCAACTGTGTGGACAAGAGAGTTGAGGAAGGCAAACAGATAAGCAGAAAGTCCAGTTAGGGGTGGCTGCAATAATCCCGTGGTTGCCAAAATAAGCCACTACTGGCCAGGCACAGTGGCTCAAACCCCAGCACTCTGGGAGGTTGAGGCAAGAGAATTGCTTGATGCCAGGAATTTGAGACCAGCCTGGGCAACATAGCAAGACCCTGCTTCTGCAAAGAAAATTTTTTACAAGAAGCTGCTACCTTCAGAAGAGGGCGGGAAAGGTTCATGTCCTGGAACGAGAGGTTTTCATCGTACTGAGATGCATCTTCAAAAAATCCTCCTGCTTCCTACGCCAGAAAACCAAAAGAGAGATGAGAATTCAACAAAAGGGCCAAGAAACCCAAATGACCTTAAACTCCTTTCAGATTGCCAGCGAGCCGCACACTATCTTGCAGCCCCGAGCTCACCTGTCCTTTCTTCTTCTTCTTCCGATCCTTTACTTTGAGTGTATCTATGGAGAAAAACTTAGCTGATGACCATGGCTCAGACTTACAAAGCACTTGCATTCTGCTGGACACTGTCCTAAGTGCCAATACCACACATCAGCCTCTGAGGGGTGACCATCATCAACCTCATTTCACAGATGAGGACACTTTGTGGCAGCATGGTGAAGTAACTTGCCTAAAGTCAGAGAGAAAGCTAACCCAGTGTCTCTGGTCCAGAGACCAGGCTCTCGACCACTACACTGTATTATGATGCTTTAGCACACATTTCTGCAAGAAATACTTAGTGAGGGCAGAAGCGGTGGCTCACGCCTAAAATCCCAGCACTTTGGGAGGCCAAGGCAGATGGATCACCTGAGGTCAGGAGTTCAGGATCAGCCTGACCAATATGGTGAAACCCCATCTCTACTAAAAATACAAAAATTAGCCAGGTGTGGTGGTGTGTGCCTGTAGTCCCAGCTACTTGGGAGGCTGAGGCAGGAGAATTGCTTGCACCTGGGAGGCAGAGGTTGCAGTGAGCCAAAATTATACCACTGCACTCCAGCCTGGGTAACAGAGTGAGATTCTATCTCAAAGGAAAAAATATATATATATATTGAGCACTCACTATGTGGCTGGACCCATCTGAGTATGTCACCCCAAATGAGTTTGTATCACAGAGGCATCCGACAGCCGCACGGGGCTAAATGGGAAAAGAGTAAACTACCTACAAAGTACAACAACCCATACAAAATCCCAAGAGAAAAGAGAACCTAAAAGAAAGGATTCAGCGGGCACAGTGGCTCATCACTCCTGTAATCCCAGCACTTTTGGAGGTCGAGGCGGGAGGACTGCTTGAGCCTAGAAGTTTGAGACTAGCCTGAACAACAAAGCAAGAGCCCATCCCTATGAAAAAAAAATTAGCCAGGCGCAGGGGCATGCACCTGTAGGCCCAGCTACTTGGGAAGCTAAGGCAGGAAGATCACTTGAGCCAGGGAGTTCAAGCCTTCCAGTGAGGTATGATGGCACCACTGCACTCCAGCCTGTGGATGGAGTGAGACCACATCTCTTTTGTTTTGCTTTGTTTTGTTTTTTGAGACAGGGTCTCATTCTGTGGCCCAGACTTAAGTACAATGGGACAATCTCGGCTCACTGAAATCTCCACCTCCCAGGTTCAAGTGATTCTCATGCCTCAGCCACCTGAGTGGCTGGGATTACAGGTCCATGCCACCACATCAAGCTAATTTTTGTATTTTTAGTAGAGACGGGGTTTTACCATGTTGCCCAGGCTGGTCTCAAACTCCTGGCTTCAAGCGATACACCCATCTTGGCCTCCCAAAGTGCTGGGGTTACAGGCATGAGCCACCGTGCCCAGCCAACATCTCTTAAAAAAAAAAAAAAAATAGAAAGGAGTTCAATGGAGTTCAATGTAGTAGGCAGAATATCTTAAACTGTGCAGAAGAGTGAAGGAAACCCTACAAAATAAAGGAGGATGCCTTCTGATCTCCTGTCCCCGTTGCTGACACCTCCGCCGTAACGTCTACCTGCTTTGGTGAGGATGTTCTCATCAGCTGATGAGTAGTCGGTCTCTGAGGCTTCATCTTCTGAGCCTTCCTCATCATTCCCTTGAAGGTCTTCCTGCTCTTTTGGTTCAGAGCCCTCCTTTGTTTCTTTCTCCTTCTCCAACTTCCCAGACTTGGCTTCTTTAACCTGGGAAAAAAAAATTAAAGCGAGGGTGATGACAAACTTCTACAGATCCAGAACTTAAGTAGAGCAACAGGAAGCTCTCCGGCCTGAACAGACGGCTGTGGGGATTCTCAGTACTGATGCACCACAAACGCACAGAAGAGCGTGCCTGCCCCAGCCATGCCCCGCTCTGTAAGGGCTTCCAGAGAGATGCTGGGGTCGCGGTGAGAGTAAAGTGTGGGGCATAACAATGAGAAATAGCCACTTTTCCTCTCACCTCTGTTTTCCTTTTCTTTCGAACTTTCTCAATCTTCTCATCTATTGTAGTGGCTGCCCTCTGCAGATAAAAATAAAGAGGTGAAAAGAAATTTTCATTGAAACATCGAATAAGAGAACAAATTCTTCATAATTAATTTGAAAAAGAAAAAATATTGGCATTCTCTGAAAATATATATACATATTATATATACAAAAATTTTAAAATCCTCTCCAGATGATCTTGAAAAGGCAATGCTGGTAAGGCTGAGCGCAGTCGCTCACACCTGTAATCCCAGCACTTTGGGAGGCTAAAGCAGGCAGATCACCTAAGGTCGGGAGTTCGAGACCAGCCTGACCAACATGGAGAAACCCCATCTCTACTAAAAATACAAAATTAGCTGGACATGGTGGCACATGCCTGTAATCCCAGCTACTCAGGAGGCTGAGGCAGGAGAACCCCTTGAATCCAGGAGGCAGAGGTTGCAGTGAGCCAAGATCGCACCATTGCACTCCAGCCTGGGTGACAGAGTGAGATTCCATCTCAAAAACAAAAAAAAAACACAAAAAATTAGCTGGGCGTGGTGGTGGGCACCTGTAGTCCCAGCGACTCGGGAGGCTAAGGCACAAGAATCACTTAAAGCCAGGAGGCAGAGGTTGCAGTGAGCCAAGATAGCGCCATTACACTCCAGCCTGGGAAACGGAGAGAGACTCTGTCTCAAAAAAAAGAAAAGGCGGCCGGGCGCGGTGGCTCAAGCCTGTAATCCCAGCACTTTGGGAGGCCAAGACGGGCGGATCACGAGGTCACAAGATCAAGACCATCCTAGCTAACATGGTGAAACCCCGTCTCTACTAAAAAAATACAAAAAACTAGCCGGGCGAGGTGGCGGGTGCCTGTAGTCCCAGCTACTCGGGAGGCTGAGGCAGGAGAATGGCGTGAACCCGGAGGCGGAGCTTGCAGTGAGCTGAGATCTGGCCACTGCACTCCAGCTCGGGCAACAGAGCAAGACTCCGTCTCAAAAAAAAAAAAAAAAAAGAAAAGGCAATGCTGGTTTATTTCAATCAGAATAAGGACCAGCAAAGCCTGGATTACACTGTTCTGGACAGGCAATCTTTCTCTCTGATGCACATGAAATGGTAAATAACTTGGATGCATCTTCTAGTTTAACCAGATTCACAGAAAGGCATGGGATCTTGGCAAACAAGCAGATGACAATGACATCTGTGGTAGCTTTGGCTGTGCTGTGTGGGCAGGGACACTGCACAGTGACACCACAGGAGACACCTGGCAAGTGCTCATACTTCATTTGGTATTAATCAAGACGAGACTTCCCCAGCAAGCAGACTCAAAAAAAAAGACAGTGAGTCATTTCTGATCTCATCAAAAGTATACCAGATACTTTCTTTCTTTTCTTTTTTTTTTTAAACCAGTTATTCTCAAAGGAGTTCTAGTATCTGCTGAATGTAAACAGATGGTCAGTCAGGTCAGGACTAGGCCCTGAAACCCACAGTCCAATCTTAATAGTCCAAGGTCTGGAACTGTCCATCACTGTCAGACTCACCTTCTTCTTGAGTTGGCTCATGACATCAGCCAGGGCCCAGCTGCCATCATAAGTCCCCTCCTTCTCAGTGAAAACGAAGTCAGGATTGAAATCAGCACTGCGGTTCTTCCCCAAGGCTTTTTGTCGTCTGCCCAGCACAATAGGCCCCTGGGAAGAGTAAGAGACAGAGTGACTTTGGGGCTGAGATAAAGAAAAATAGAAAGGAAGAAGGGGACAGGCACAGTGGCTCACACCTGTAATCCCAGCACATTAAGAAGCCAAGGCATGTGGATCATTTTAGGTCAGGAGTTCAAGACCAGCCTGACCAACATGATGAAATGCAGTCTCTACTAAAAATACAAAAAAGACAGGCATGGTGGCTCACGCCTGTAATCCCAACACTTTGGGAGGCCAAGGTGGGCGGATCACGAGGTCAGGAGCTCAAGACCAGCCTGGCCAATATGGTGAAACCCTGTCTCTACTAAAAATACAAAAATTAGCCAGGTGTGGTGGCACGCACTGGTAGTCCCAGCTACTCGGGAGGCTGAGGCAGGAGAACTGCTTGAACACGGGAGGCAGAAGGTGCAGTGAGCCAAGACTATACCATTGCACTCCTGCCTGAGCAACAGAGTAAGACTCCATCTCAAAAAAAATAATAATACAGAAAAATTAGCTGGGCGTGGTAGTGCATGCCTGTAATCCCAGTTACTCAGGAGGCTGAGGCAGGAGAATTGCTTGAGCCCAGGAGGCAGAGGTTGTGGTGAGCCAAGATTGCACCAGCCAGTAGGCCGCCCGCGCCCACAGGGGACATCAGGGAAATGGGGGCAGTGTGCAGGACCCACAGGCTGCCTGAGGAGTCTCTGCAGAGTGGACAGGCCTGGGGCTCTCTACCAGCAGGCTGGAGAGTTTTAAGCAAGGGAGGTCTCTAACGTGACTGTATCACAAAGAGATCCTTCTGCTGCTAAGCGAAGAACACACTGGAAGTGCTCAAGATAAAGAGATGAAGTATGTTTGGACTGGTGGTGTGCTGGTGTGCTGGTGTGCAGGCATGAGACAGCAGTGGCCGGAGATAGGGTGGGTACAGTGTGAATGGAGAGAGGCGGGAGAAGCTTAAGAGAGATTCATGAGCTAGCTTGCAGAGCACTGGCGGCGCTGAGGAAGAAAAAACTGTCAAGAATAACTCTAAGGTTGCTGGCTTGAGAAGGGAACAGGATGAGAGCGAACACAAGTTCAACTTTGGAGGAGTTGAATTTGTAGAGGCCATGGGACATCTGAATAAATGTATCAAGCGGACAGATGAGACTGCAGAGGGGACAATACCTGGGCTGAATGTTTGAAGGGCAAGCATCCTTTTCAGAACACCGATCCCTCTTTAATTGCCATACTGCTTAATATCTGCAAGCCCCCACACCACCATACGCTTCAGAAGAGTGGCACTCACCTTGTTCATTGCTACGTCCCCAACGCTTAACACTAGGTCTAGCACACATAAGTATACAATAAACACTGGCTCGATGAACATATGAATGGACAGCTAACCACGGCTCCTTGAGCAGGAACCAGGGCTGACTTCACCTCTTACAAGGTGTAAGAGACCTGCATGTCTCTTACACAGGGCGTGGTTAAATATCAATTCAGTGAATGGATACTGAGTTCAGCAAGGAGACAGGGAACGACACGGCCAAAGAAGCAGGCGGACGTAGAGAAAACCTAGTCGCCGGAAAAATGAGGAAGATCTTGGGGTCCCGGAGAGATCCTTTTAGGGAAACTTCCCGGGCTGGCAGGCGATAATGAGGATTCGGGGACAGGGACCTGAGGAATCGCGGGGAAGAGAAGCAGTCAAGGAAACCCAAAGACCAGAACCGTCCTCATACCTCTTCTTCCTCGTCACCAGAGTCAGACTCGGGCTCCACCGGCACCTCGTCATCCTCGCCTATGGTCCCGATTAAGCCGAGGTCTGCAAGCATGTTGTCGCAGAAGCCACTTCCGGAAGCGAGCACAGCGTGCGGACCAGCACTTGACTTTTGGCCACCTCCTCGTCGTCATTGCGCATGTACCATGCGTCACTTCCGTTCGAGAGCCCCTGCCCCTCTTCCCGTTTCGACCTCTTAAGAGTGCGCATGCGGCAATCTGGGGCGTAGTTTCGTATGACGACATCAAGGGGAGGGGCTTTTTTCAGTAAGCAAATTCCACGGTCTCCGGCCTCAAAATGGTGGGAATGTTTGAGGAAAGTGCAAGGGGTGAGAGAGTCTAAAGAGTTGCATTTATAAACTCTAGATGTGGATATTTATATTAAAAAAAGGTAGAAGAAAATACAATAAGCAGTTAGCTGTGATTGTTTCTGGGTGGTAAAATTCTAAGTAATTTTTTTTTCTTTTTTCTCTTTTTTTTTTTTTTTTTTTAGTTTTTGGCTCTGTCCCCTAGGCTGGAGTGCAGTGGAGATCATGGCTCACTGCAACCCCGACTTCCCGGGCTTAAGCGGATCCTCCCGCCTCACCTTTCTGAGTAGCTGCGAGAGTACGGCGCCGACCCATGCCTGGCTGCACCGTTGCCGAGCTCCAACCCCGGTGGGTGTGTGTGGGTGGCGACATTCTGGTCCAAGCAATCCTCTGCCTCAGCACTGGGCCAAGCGTGGGATTACAGGTATGAGCACTGCGCCAGCCGAACTTTTTGAGGAAAAATTAATGGTTTAGTATGAGGGAGGAAAAAATCTCAGAGAAATAAAAGAAGACAGACAAGTGGCTCCACACCTTTAGTCACCAGCACGTGAGAGACGGCCAGGGGGTGCCATGGCTGTTGGGCTCAGGAAGGTTCCAGAACCCTGGGCACAGGGCAAGACCCATTTGGCGATAGCTATAGGCTAGGCGATAATTTTGTGGTGTTTTTTTTTAGCTTAAAAAATGGTGCGTGGCGCACACGAATGCCACTGAGCCAAGCAGGGCGGGATCAACACGTCAAGGATCGACCATGCCTGCGAAAGTATGTGAAGCGCTTGAGATGTACAGAAAACTAGCTGGCAGGACGGCCGGGTGAACCCACTATGGGAGGCTGAGGCAGGAGAATTGCTTTAAGCAAGGAGTTGGAAGTTGCAGTGAGCCAAGATCGTGCCACTGCACTCCAGCCTGGTGACAGAGCATGGTTGGGCATGGTGGCACACGCCTGTAGTCCCAGCTCCTCAGGAGGCTGAAGCAGGTGGATCCCCAGAGCCCAGGTTAAGGCTGCAGTGAACTATGATCGCGCCACTGCCCTCCAACCTGGGTGACTGAGCGAGACCCTTTATTTCAAAAAATGAAGAATGAATGACTATGTGTTGTATTGAATACATGGAGACCTCCCCACCACCCTCACTGCCGTCCTTCCTTTCTCGATGGGCCAGTAACTACCACACAGGTCTTCTAGACTTATCCCCTCCACTTTCTTCTCCTCGAAGTAGCCAGAACAAAATCTTTAAAATGCAAAAAGTGCGGGGGCTCATGCCTGTAATCCTAGCACTTAAGGAGGCCAAGGTAGGAGGATTGTCTGAGCTCAGGAGTTTGAGACGAGCTTGGGCAACATGATGAAACCCCATCTCTACTAAGTACAAAAAAAACTACTAAAATACAAAATACAAAAAAAAAAAATAATAAAATGCAAATGAGAGCCAACCACTCCTTTATTTAAAACCTAGTTTAAGGATCACAACATCAAAGACCAATGTAGAATCAGGGACATCAAAACAATTTTAATTCCTTTAAATCAGGAATTTCTCCGTCTTGGCTGTGGGGGCTGCCCTGTGCATGGTAGGATGGTAGGCAGCATCCCTGGCCTGCACCCACTAAATGCCACAGGCACCCCTCTCACCCATTGTGATAACCTAAATTGTCTCCTGATTATCACGGTTGAGAACCTGCTGCTTTAAGTAGAATCCACACTCTCAGCTCATCCTCTCATCCTAGATCTCTCTGCACCCTGGGAGCACCACACTCTTCACACATTTATGCTTCCTGCGGGCCCTAGAAACATTTTAGTTTGTTTGGGTAGCTTAAACAATAGACATGTATTTTCTCACAGTTTGATAGTCTAGAAGTCTGAGATCAAGGTATCAGCAGGGTTGGTTTTCCCAGGGCTCCCCCTCCACTTGGAGATGGCCATCTTCCCTCTATGTCTTCACTTGGTGTTCTCTATGTGCGTAAGACCTAAGTCCTTTTCTTTTTTATTTTATTTTATTTATTTATTTTTTTTTTTTGGTGTGTGTGACACGGTCTTGCTCTGTCACCAAGGCTGGAATGCAGTGGCACAATCACAGCTCACTGCAGCCTCAATCTCCTAGATTTAAGCAATCCTCCCACCTCAGCCTCCTGAGCAGCTGGGACTATAGGTGCACGACACCATGCCTAGGTAATTTTTTTTAAGTTTTTTGTAGAGATAGGAGTCTTGCTATGTTGCCCAAGCTACTCTCGAACTCTGGGGCTCAAGAGGTCCTCCCATCTCTTGAAGCCCTGGGATTACGGGTGTGAGCCACCTCACCAAACCCTAAGTTCTTCTTATCAAGACATCAGCCATATTGGCTTAGCACCCCATTAATGACCTCATTTTAATTTACTTACCTTTTTAAAAGCTCTATCTCCACATATGGTTACAGTCGGAGGTGCTGGGAGTTAGGACTTCAATGTGTGAATTTTAGGGACAAACAATTCCATCCTTATCAACTTGCTACTCCTACTCCATTCTAATGCATCAGCCTCACTGTATCCTAATAAAAGGTTTACTTAAAAAAAAAAAAAAAAAAAAAAGCTTTAGGCTGGGCACAGTGGCTCACGCCTGCAACCCCAGCACTTTAGGAGCCCAAGGTGGGCAGATCACTTGAGGTCAGGAGTTCGAGGCCAGCCTGGCCAACATGATAAAACCCCATCTCTTCTAAAAATGCAAAAATTAGTGGTGGCAGGTGCCCAGCTATTCAGGAAGCTGAGGCGGGAGAATCGCTAGAATCTGAGAGGCAGAGGTTGCCATGAGCTGAGATCGTGCCACTGTACTTTAGCCTGGGTAACAGAGTGAGACTCCATCTCAAATGAATTTTTTAAAAAGCTTTATTGGGATATAATTTACATGTCATACAGTTCACTGATTTAAAGTGGACAGTTTCATGGTTTTAGTGTATTCAGAGTTGTGCAGTCATCATCACAGTATAATTTAAAAACATTTTCATCCTGAGGTGGGAGGATCACTTGAGGCCAGAAGTTTGAGACCAGTCCAGACAACATAGTCAGACCCCATCACTTAAAAAAAAAAAAAAATCAGCCAGACATGGTGGCTTATGCCTGTAGTCCCAGCTACTCAGGAGGCTGAGACAGGAGAATCCTATGAGGCTTAAGCCCAGAAGTGCAAGATTGCGGTGAGCTATGATCGCACCATTGCACTCCAGCCTGGACAACAGAGTGAGACCCTGTTTCTAAATAAATAAATCTAATGTCCACTAATAGGACAGTAGATAAATAAAATGTGGTTAATATTAGAATGTGAGTAGCAGTTCACATGATATAACTAAAAATATAGATATCAACATGGATAGATCTCAAAAACATGATTATGAGTGAAAAAGGAGTTGCAGAAAGATGTGTCCATAGAATAGGAGCTGTGATTTGTGTACATAGGAACTACAGCATAGTGGTTAAAAGATTGGGCTTTGTAAGAGTGATGGAAAATGTGAATTAAAAAAATATATTGCCAGCTGGGCACGGTGACTTGCGCCTGTAATCCCAGCACTTTGGGAGGCCGAGGCAGGTGGATCACCTGAGGTCAGGAGTTTTAAGACCAGCCTGACCAACATGGTGAAACTCTGTTTGTACTAAAAATACAAAAAATTAGCTGGGCATGGTGGTGTGTGCCTGTAATCCCAGCTACTCAGGAGGCTGAGGCAGGAGAATTGCTTGAACCCAGGAGGCAGAAGTTGCAGTGAGCTGAGATCACACCATTGCACTCCAGTCTGGGCACAAGAGCAAAACTCCGTCTCAGAAAAAAAAAAATTATTTTATTTTATTTATTTAATTTTTTTTTTGAAACAGGGTCTTACTCTGTCGCCAAGGTGAGAGTGCAGTGGCACGATCTCAGCTCACGGCAGCCTCCACCTCCGGGGTTCAATCGACTCTCCTGCCTCAGCCTCCTGAGTAGCTGGGATTACAGGCATGAGCCACTGCTCCTGGCCTAAAAATATATATATATATATTTTAAAAGAAAAAAAAAAAAAAGGATGGGCTTTGGAGTCACACAGCCTTGATTCAAATCTGCTTCTGCTCCTTACTGTGTGGACTTCGGTAACTTCCTAGTTTCTGTTCCAGTTTGCTTATTTATAAAATAAGGACACTGTTAGGAAGGATACACAACAGCTAAAGAAAAACTCTGGATACAAAGGATGCAAAATGGTATTGGGGAACACAAGTTTTTGTTCTTTGTTCTTTGTGTAGTTGCATCTAATAGTTTTCAAATTAATAAGCTGTGCCCGTTATTAAGGTACTGTCAGCTTCAAACTAACCCTTCTATACCTGGCTCAGGTGCCTGGGGCGGGACTCCGGGAACCATGTTTGTCTTTTGCCGTCAAGTTCCTTGTTAGGATCTGCCAGCAGGGGGCGCGTGTGAGAGAGAACGGAGCGCTGGAGTAGGAAGTGGAAACTTGGTCTTGTTCTATTTCGCATTCCTGTGTCACTCCAGCAGCACTTCTGCCTGGAAGCAGCGATTCATTCCAGTTGGCAGCGCGGGGGGATTTTGTTTGTTTTTCTTTTTAACACTCACAGAACCAGCTTTTCTGTACCCAGGCAGAGCACCAGCAACAGCTGAGCAGCGCCTCCTTCTCCAAGGTTTGGGTCCCAGCGCCATGGGAACCTCTGGGCTGAGATACCAGCACCATCTCTTTGAAGATCTGAGCTCCTTCCACATAGGATCCTTTCTCTAAACTACTTAGTTTTATTTCATTTTAATTTTTTAAGATAGAGTCTTGGCCGGGCGCGGTGGCTCAAGCCTGTAATCCCAGCACTTTGGGAGGCCGAGACGGGCGGATCACGAGGTCAGGAGATCGAGACCATCCTGGCTAACACGGTGAAACCCCGTCTCTACTAAAAATACAAGAAAATTAGCCGGGCGAGGTGGTGG